AAATTGGGCAGAGAGCAGCAAGGGGAGCTGCAGACAGGGGGAAGGAATCTAAATACCATCAAACTATATTGTATGAAAATCATGATAATTCAATAACAAAAATAAAAAATTTTTAAATCGTGTGTGTGTGTACATGTGAGTGCAGGTTCACATGTGCGATGGTGCACATGTGGAGGTAAGAGAACATCTTCAGGTGTAGGGCCTTGCTTTCCACCTTGTTAATCACTGCAGAAACTCTAATAGCTGGCTCCGTTGCTGCCTTCCATCTTGTAGGAGCACTGGGATTACAGATGCACATTACTACTTCTGGCTTTACATGCTTCTGGGAATCCAAACTCAGGTTCTCATGCTTGTATGGCAAGTGCTTTACCCACTGAGCCATCTCCCAGCCTGTCTTAATTGTTTCTATCTGAAACTGCCTCCTCCCCACCTTCACTCACTAAATTAGACTACTGTCTACCTAGCATCCTAGGGCCAACTCCTAGAGGTAAAACTTGACCCCTCTGCTTTTCATACATAGCTCATTTCCAATCCATCAGTAACTTCTATGGTTCCTATCTTCAAAGTGTTAAGTGGAACCATATAAAACTTGCAGCACATATGATATAGCTCAGCCTAATATAATCTGAATCTTTCCATATCTTCATCTCTAGGATTCGAACCCACCATTGTCCTTTCCCTACCTCATTTCAAGAGGCTCCAAGCTGACTGCCCAGCTTCTACTTTCCCCTACAGTCTATTCTCCCATAGCTATCAGAAGTATCTTTCAAAGATAAATCAGAATCTACCTTTTCCTATCATTTTATATCTTTAAGCCTTCAATGGCTTTATAAGGTAATTACTCTGAGAATCAAACACAGCAGGTCTATAAAGCCCTATACAATTCAGCCCCTGCCTACTTTCCATCATTCCCCTCTCATTCTCAAGACCTCAGGTACACTGGCTTTCTCGCTGTACCTTAATCACACCAACCCTACTACCAGCTCAAAGATTTGATATCTGCTGTTCCCTCTCCCTCACTCCCTGTCACAAGAAGCAAAGTGACAAGGTGGTTATCAGGCCAGGAAGAGAGCCTTCACTAGAAACTGACCCATTGCATCTTGAACTAGGACTTCTAGTCTCCAGAAAAATAAAGAAACACAGTCTGTGGTATTTTGTTTTGACTGCATGAGTCAATTAATACTGAGAAAAATATAAAATTCAGTCAATTCTCAACATTCAATATTTTTAAAACATGACAAGTAACTCCATATATATTTTTGAAATTCTGCTGTTCAATACTAATATTGTGAATCAAGAAGACATGCATTCCTTCATTGGTCCCCATCACAGGATCTTGCCAGTCAATTCATCTTCTCTTCATGCCTTAATACTTGCTCACTCATTAGCTCTCCGTTGAGTCTCAGTTTCTATGGATCTCTTAAGTCTGGATTATGAACTCTTCACAGAACTTATCACAGTTTCCCAGTTACATTCATTTGTACAATGATCTGATTTAACCTGGACTTAATGCTTTATGAAAGCAGGAGACCTCTGCTTAGTTTTATTTCACCTTGAATCTCCCCAGTACCTACTACAAGTCTTGGCATATGAAAATATGTTGAAAGAATAAATGAGAGGAAATACTTTTCTCTCTAGTCTTTCAGCCTCAAAACTATGTTCTTTAAATGAACTCAGAGGAGATTTTTGGCACATTTGCATGGTGTCTTACAACTGAGAGAGCCCCCCGCTTCCCCACTCCTACCTGCTCTCAACAGCAACTACTTCCTTAATACAAATGGAATTTAGTTAACCAAATGTTGGCAGCAGATAGCAATTGCCAGGCTACAGACAAAATAGATGGCCTTGCAATAAAATCTCACTGTTTAAGGGTATGTATCACGTTGATTAATAAACCCATTGTCACACAGTTCCTTTTAATAACCTGGTCTCTGGAGGATTTGGGAAAGACTTGGTATTTTTCAGACTTACATGAGGAACTACCACAGCCAAGGAAACAGAGGTGCTGAAGGGGCCACCACAGTTCTGGCCTGAGTCTCACAGAGCACAGGTAATAAAATACGCAAGAATGAATACTTTGTGTTACACAGGATCCTTTGGTTCTGCCAGGTTTCAGTTGTATAGCACAGCTTTTTAAAAACTAGGATAATAAACACGTCCAAATATCTTCTTAAAAATGATCAATAATGAAATGTATTTTTCAGAAAATGAGCTAGTTTTTTTAAATGTGTATTTAATTCCATTTCATTGTTTTCTTCTTATATGTCACTAAGTCAGTCTTAAACAATTATTTTAATGTTAACCTGAATGCTCAAAAGCCTATTGAGATCCTTTTAAACTCTGAATTATGCCCTTAAGGTTCCTAAAAGAAATTTGTGTATTATTTAAAGCTAGGTATATAATCATGTGAAATGGGATTTCTTTTTTGCTTAACTTCTAAAATTTATCATAAAAGCAAAATTCTTTAATCATGGCCCAGAACCTCCATGTACTATTGTGTTTCACTGATAGGCCAGTTTTCCCTCAGTCTGTGTTACAGAGTACCTTATTAGTCAATATACTGTGATGGTTCTGACCTGAATTTACTATTTCTGAAATGGAGACAACCTTTTAAAGAACTCTGAAAAACATTTAGAGTGTAAAATATTTACTCTTAAATTCTCAAGAGAACAAAAGAGGGAATTACAAAGTTATTCACTAAAACAGAAGTTCCCCTTGTCTTTGTTCTCCCTCTGAACTGGACTTGAGCATCCAAGGGTGATAGTCCAGAGAGGGAAATGATCTGCCCATAGTCTCAGTTGCCTAGTGTTGACTGGGATTACAGGCTCCTAACTCCTACCAGCCTGTCAGGATAGAATATGCCCATTACATTTTTCTCGTCCCTCCCTGCCACCCCCCATTCCCCACTAGAGAGACTAAAGAATGTTTTTGGCATGATATGACATTTCTTAGGAAGGTCCTTTTTCCTGTTAGAAAGGACAACTCTCTACCTACTACCACTTCATTATGTACGGTCTTCACTTGTAGAGTTATTTGTGAACTATACAGATGAGGGGGGCACAAACATGAAATTGTACCCATTACCTGAGTGGGGCTCTGTAGACTTAAATCCAGGCCACAAGTGAACTCTGTGTGATGTTCTACTGTTTCAAGAAGAGGGTCAGGCTTTGAAAAATTCCAGAATCTGTGAAGATAAAGAGAGAGAGAAAAAGAAATAATGCAAATGCTAAAACTCTCCCCAAATACTTTTGTGAAAAAAGACATGTGACATAGAAAATATTTTAGCAATTCATAAATGCAGGGCCCACTATCAACTTATATAAAACATCTAATCAGGAAAGCATGCACCCCCATTCTATTAGATCAAAAAGCAAAACAGAATTACCAATCAATCTACCAAGTTTTAAAAAAACTTTCTGTATTCTCATTACAGTACCTTGTAAAATGGAAGCTTAGCAAATTTTTATTTAGAAAAAATTATTAAACTCTACAAGGACATTTGGGGTGAGAGACACCATACTTTTGTAGCCATTTCTAAAAGCAATCATGCCTATAAACAAGAATATTGGGTTAGATGAATTCAACATCTTGTGATTTTTTTAATTCTACCTCAGTTCTCAACAAGCACCATGAAAAGGATTTAGGTTTCATTCACAGCAATTCAAATTCTTTAAATCTGTTCTCTTATGAAAATCTCTGTAATTTTAAAACTCTCTTTTTTGAGGCACTTCTTTTCTTATAAATTTCATATCACTGACATTTCCAGAATCAAGAAAAACAGAAAAGTGTTTTGCTGGGCCAATATTTTTTTATTCTATTTCTCCTTTGCAGACTGAGAATGACAATATTTATCATAATAAGCTCTGATTTCTGCTGCTCAGAAAATTTAGCTCTATTTTCAATACACAAAATAGTACTTTATCTTTCTAAAGCTTTACCTAGTCATCATCTTTTTATTTACTCTAAACACTATAAAACGGCACATTCAGAATCCTAAGAGTCATATCCTAATTCAGGTTGTCTAATGATGTACAACATGGAACACACTGAAGGTTAGGCAGAGCCCTCTGAAAGAGAGCAAACACATAGAACCAACAGTCACAGTTTGTTTAACCTGGTGGTATTATTTCCCTAATAAACACAGCACTGGCCCTATTAAGTTTTGAAAAGAACTGTTGCTATGGATAATCTGCGTTGTGGGTATCAGAAAAACACTGAACAAACAGCTCATTTATCTGATTACTGAGAGCTACAGAATATTTAGGGGGATCATTTTACTTTAAAAAAATGTGACTTTTCAAAAAAGAGAGGGAGCAAGACACAGACCTCAGAAATGCTAACGGTCCTTTTCTTGGTTTTGGAAATCTTGTTCCTAGACAGTAAATTGTACCAAGATCAAATTTTCTGAATTTTTATGATGCTTATATAAGCAAAAGTAAACATGGAAATGTACAATTTTATTTATAAAAACTAGTTATGCATTGATTTTTATTATTTAAAACAATAATCAAATAACTGTATATATCCACTATGTTCCAACAATTCATAATAGTTTTTAAAATATGGGTTTAATTTGACAAAAAATGAGTTAAAGAAAAATTAATGGTAGGAAACTAAGCTGGGATAGTCAATGAGATTAGTAAATAAAAATACATTCCATGAAGTCATACGTACTCAAAAGGGAAGGACCTCAATATGCTAAGTGTTCTACCAGCCAACAGAAAATAAGACATATAACCAGGCCCTGAACTAGTATCCCCAACCACACTGCTCACAGAAAACTCAGAAAGAAATGCTCCTTTGGGAATTTATAGACAAGATACACTATGTTTATATAATGAAATTTAAGTCCTGTTCAGTATACAGAGTTGTGTCACCAGCTGCCACTTGTCAGTTAGTGGAATCATTCTGTGGGAAGGTCAATATGATATAATCTAGGTATTCAGCTCTCTAATTTCAGCATGGATTTAGATTTATGTCAGTAGAACAGGCGAGCAAAATCACCTTTATGCAAATCATAGTTGGTTCTTATATTAAAACTTTTCAAGGATAAGAAACAGTAAGTTCTGGGAATGCAGTTTCTGCCACAAGGAAAAGCTACACTGAGAACAAGGCGGTGGGCCTCGTGAAAAGAAGATGTCTAGCAGGGACACAATGCCGAGCCACCCATGCTGCCGGATGGGCCATCGAGGTCACAGAATTCTAGATGTAGTCACAGCCACCATGATTTCAACCTATTACACACTTGTGGAAATTGTGTGAAAAATATCCTCAAACAAAACATATTATAACTTCCAACAACAACTACAAATCCCAGGTAAAACATCAAAACAAGCAAACCACCACAACAAAAACATCTACAAGAAACACCTGGGTAAAAATTGGGTAAGACGGGAATCCAGAGTGGTAAATGGACAATAACCAGACTTTTCTGTGAGGGGATTTATTAAACATGGAGAGTCAAAGAAAGAGATTCAAGAAACAGTCAATTTTCTTTCCTCCTCTCCTTCTTTTTTGTTTTTGTTTGTTTGTTTTAAGACAAGGTTTCATGTTGCCCAGGGTAACCTTGAGCTGGCTATGTAGCTAAGGCTGGTTTTGAACGCCTGATTCTCCTGCCTCAGCCTCCTAAATGCTGGGAAGACAGGGGTGCTCTACCCAAGCTTCCAAACCTTCAGTTTTAACTTAAAGGGGAACAGGAGCTAGGAAAATCAGAAAAATCCACATAAATATGTATAATTAAAAAATATTTTTGTACACTGAAATATATTTTAAAAATATCATTAACTACAGTAAAATCTTACAAGCTAAATAAGTTGAGAAAACAAATTAGGCAGTACGTCAATAGACTATACTTTAGTTTTAAATTGAAAGTGGATTTTTAATAACAAAGACAATACTTGTATTTATTTCCTTAATACTTCTTTAATAGCAACAACTGTGAATAGTTCAATGTGCACACTTCCAGAATGTTTCCACTTATCTCCATTCATGCTCCATCTAAAAAGGGAAGGTCCTAAGGAGGAACATGCATGTTTCTCCAGGTTTTTCTCATTTGCACTGAAGCAAGTGGTGTGCTCTTTCCTTGCAACCTTCTTCTAGTCTCAAGAGTTCCCTAAGAGCTACTTATTTGAGGCCTCTATGAACTAAACAGGGCTCCTCTTTTCTGGCAGAAATCAGGCTACACATATCATTAACTGGGTAGATAAGGCATATTATTTTTAAGTGAAATGTTTGTTTTGGTCCAGCACATACACTACTTGGTGCCTTTTTGTCTCTTGGCTGATAGAATCACTGACTGTTTAAGCTCTCTGATGGGAAGTAAATACCGGACAAGTCCCCAATGATTAAAATATGATAAAACTGTAGAACATTTTTCATTTAAATTGGTGATCATAATACAAGGCCTTAGCTGACTTACTTTGTGCCTTCTGACCCCACAGTGCTTTAACAAAGCAAGCACACAGTAAATAAAAAATCAAAACTATTTTAAAAAATTAAGCTGTAATTATGCTCTACTTCACTAAATTATAATCTAAAATTTCTATAGTAACACGAAATTTAACCAACAGATGAATTCAGCAAAAAGTTTTAAATATTTTTGAAAGTTCTTCATTTCCCTTGACCAAGGGAAATGTGTTAGTTATCAATTCTTTGTGAGTCTTTGCTACTACAAGAAAAAGACAGAGAACTGTGTTGGCTATTTTTCAATGCATTGCCTATATATTAGTTGTGATAGTTTTCATATTTTTAAGTAACCTACACCCTCATAATCCCCTCCATTTGTATTGCTAACAGTCTAGTAGTGTCTAGAACAATGAACAGAAAATGTTACACATCTTTTCATTTACTATTCATCAACAATTTATAGGTCCTACTATGTGTCAGCTATGGTGCCAAGCACCATAAGCAAAAGGAACACAGCCCCAGCCTTCCTGCAGCTCACAGTTCAGTGGGATAGATCCCCACTTTCCCTTTTTAATCGCCAAAGTAGAAGGAGCATGTGAGGTCCTGGGTTCAATCTCCACCAATGAAAATAAGTAAGCAAACAGAGCAAAAAAAAAAAAAAAAAAATTGAAACACAAGTATGTGCAAACTAACAAGTGCCCTAAAGACAATGCAGGATCATTAAGAATGACAACTTGAAGAGGTGACAATGAGCCGGAATCTGAAGGCTGAGGACAAGCCAGGTGGAAAGAAAAGAGAACTCTCCACCATCAGTGGAGCCTGGCAGTGGGTAAGAAGGCAAGCAGGGAACAGGGCTTGAACAGGGAAGGGAGGTAAGGCAGGCACAGGAAGCCAGTAGGGTCCAATGGTCTCTTGTAGCTTGGGCTGGCACTGAATTTACTATACAGGTGAGATTGAATGACCTTGAATTCCTGATCCTCCTGCTGCTACCTCCCAAGTGCTAAGATTATAGGAGTGTGCTACCATACCCAACTGGAAAAGTTTTAAATTCACAAAGTATAATATTTTGAAGAAAGTATAGAGCATTACTAAAACCCAAGCAGGGATTTCCCTTATTGACATCTTCACTTAGTAGAGTTAGATTTTACATTTAAAAGGTATTTCTGGCTAGTGTGAGAAAAATGGATTTAAAGGCTAAGAGTGGGTGTGGGAGAGATTAGTAGTCTAAAGAGATGAGAGCAGCAAGGATGTAATGTGGAGACAGCAACCAAAGAAGAAAGGTGACGGACTGGAGATATATTTAGGCAGAAGAATAAACAGGATGAGTAATAGAAAAGAATACATTAAGAATGATGCTCTTGTTCCTAGCTTCTAGTGTAGTACTTAAAATACTTCCATGAATGTATTAACTTACAGATCTACCTTCTTATGACTGGCACTAGCCCCTTGAATGCAGGGGCAATGTCTTATTCTTTGTATCTCTTGCATGTATAAAAGTGTCTGACAATGCTCCTGAGGAAAGCTAGGAAAAGGGTCTGCTGGTGGGCCATGTGAAGACATGGAGCAGGGCCATGGAGGCTATGGGGTGTGGAGTGCAGGACCTGCCAACACCCAGGGTACATATGGAAGCAGTATGGCCAGCTGGCAAGGTTACAATAACTACAACTACTACAGTACCCAGAACACCAGTGTTTCTGCAGGAGTGTCCTATAGCTACGGCCCAGTCTCATGGGAGGCCACCAAGGCCAGTGATAGTGGCCTTGCAGCTGGGGGCTCTGC